GTTTACTGTTTACAGTTTTTCCACCCTGGGTTCAAGGTCTGGGGCTCCTTACCATCCCCTGACTTCATTAGCCAGAGAAGAGGGACAAGGCTGGAAATCATAGCAAGACTAGGAAAGAGGGTGGCCAGACATGCTCCCCTCATCTTAGTGCTGAGCACACAGTAAGCGCTCAATAAAAGCTAGTGAGATGAGTGGCCAGTAAGCGCGTCATTATTTTTTTCTCTACTCTCTTCTCTTAACCACACAAAATGACCCTCAACAAAACCACATAAATCAAGACACAAAGGAGGCACAGCCCGTTGACCTACCTTGGGGATACAGTTCCCCAAAGGAGACAGACAGAAGAGTTCTCCCCAGAGCATGTTATTCTAGTCTCAAAATAAAATACATCTCTCATTTCAAGGTACATTTATTTTAGTTAGGTAGGATAAGGATTTTGTGAGAGAAACAAAAATGAATAAGCTGGTGTGTGGGAACAGGAATTAAAATTAGCAGTGACTTGCCGCCTGCCGACGTGGATGTCCTCACATCCCACTGCCTTATTTTTGGTTCTGTTCTGGTTTGTTTTCTTCCTCAGTACTTTAAAATATGATAGGTAGGTTAGAAAGACAAGTCTGGGATGATCATGAAGCTCGTCCTATGTACGTGGTACTTCACTGACTCTGCCTCACTGAATCCCCTCAACAAGCCTATGAGGTGAGTACTATGATTACCCCCATTCATTGGACAGGTGGAAAACTGAGTTTAAGACAGGTAAAATGACCTTGCTCAAAGTGACCCATTGGCCAAGCCAAGCTGTGAATTGAGGTTGTAACCCAGAGCTTGGCTTGACCCACTCCACTCTATTGACCGCATGTGTGGAAGCCCCTAGTCTCTCCCTCTCTCTCAGGTCCAGCAGATCCTATCGCCAAGGTGCTAAGGTACCTTGGGAATCAGGAGACACCACACAAGCTCTCTGTGTCTCCTGGATCCTAGTGGCAACTCTAGAAACTGGAGGTGGACAAGGAGGAGTGGGAAGGAGAGGAGGAGGCATGAGGATGTGTGTTCCTAAAAAAGATCTCTTCCCCTCCCTGCCGGCCTGAAGTGAAGCTCTCTGAGTAAGAAGAGATGGAGGGGTGCCAACAGAAATGAGCAAAACCAGCTCAGTCATCCCAACCCAGTCCTCAAACCCCCCCGTCTTTTAAGGTAAGGATGGAGGCAGAAGAGCAGCATGAATATGGACAGAAAGTCAGACCGAATTGGAGGCAAATCACCCCTTCCACCACTCCCAGGCTATGCGACCTTGAACAGGAATGAACGTCTCTGAGCCTGTTTCCTTATCTTCAAAATGGGGGAAAATAATTCCCAGCTCACAGGTTTGCTCTGAGAATTAAGTGAGTTCGTGTGTATAAGGGGCTTATCAGAGCACCCAGCACATAGTAGAACTGGAATTAGCTGTTATTAGTAATATGCCGTCAGATGCACTAAGAGAATATATACAATAAAGTACATGAATACTCTGCTATATAATATGCAACTATATATGATGATAAGAAATCAAGTGTGGTGGGTGTTATGCTCCAGAGAAGGTAAGGGTGGGGGTGGCGGCACTCATTCTGTTTTGTACCCGCTTGGTTTCAGCTACGCAGGGCTCAGCAGGTGTGTGCGAGAGAAGAGAACAGACTGCAGCTTCCTCATCTTATACCAAACCTCTGCCAGTAAAGGCAGCACCTTTTCATTTTCCAGGAGGAGGGCAGCACTTCCTGAAATGCCCCCACTTAATGGGATTATTCCTTCTACTTTGTAAGCCATACCTCGTGGGAATGTTCATTTTATCTCTGGCAGCTCATCGGCACAATAATTGTTTCATGATGTAATAACCCATGTATTAAATCAGACACGGGAGCCTCCTTGAAATATTATTATACTGAATTCTCTTCCGTAACAGGCAGCCCAGGGGTGGATCTCACCCAAGGGGCTTAGTTACTAAAGAACCAAAAGTATTTCATTGAAGGTGCCTTCTCCTATAAGAGGAGAAAGGTTATTTCCTGTTGTTATTTTTATTATTTCATAGTCCAAAAGTTTGTTGGTCTGTTTTCAGTTTCAAGACACTTATGCTTCCTAATGTACTACATATTTGCTTATTTATTAGGTTTGTTTTTTTCCTGTTCTTCCCCCACTGCAATGTCACAGGGTAGGACGCTGCCTGTTGTATTCACTGTTGTTTCTTTTTTTTTTTTAGTGGGGGGAGGGGCAGGGGGAGGGAGAATCTTAAGCAGGCTCCACGCCCAGTGTGGAGCCCAAAGCAGGGCTCGATCCGAAGATCCTGAGATCATGACCTAAGCCAAAATAAAGAGTTGGATGCTCAACTGACTGAGCCACCCAGGCGACCCATTATTCACTGTTGTTTCTTAATCATCCGGAAAAGTGCCTGGCACATAGGAGGTGCTTAATAAATATTGTTCAATTAATCAACAAATTGAAGCACATTTTAGAGCATATTTTTTGAAGAGCAACCACATTTGATGTAAGAGTGTATCTCATTTTTCCTCCTTTTCCTTTTTCTTCTTTTCCTATTCACTATAGTGGATTTTCACCAGACAAGAACACAACGCCAAAAATCAGGGTTAAATCATTCACAAAAAGACATGAGTTTTTAACATCCAAGTTCTCCTGACACAAACACGCTTTCAGTCTCATAAGGAGACTCAGCTCCATACCCTTAGCTGGGGCGAAACCTGCTTGCTGCTCAGGAGGGGTGTCTCCACCACAGTCCTGAAGGGGTCTCCTCAATCATCTAGCACCACGAGGGACCAAGAGAGGATGGACCCTGACATAAAATTCCGATTCCTGAAATGTGAAGACAAGAAGGTATTTGAAGTCCAAACCTCCCATTTTTCAGAAGGGAAAACTGAGGGTCCAGGAAAGCGAAATGGTTGTTGTGGTGCACAGAGTAATTAGAACACAGGCGGGAAGAAAAGGCAGATTCCTTTCCTTCCTTCCTTCTTCCTTTCCTTCCTCCCTCCCTCTCTCTTGCTCTCCTCTTCCCTCTTCCCCTTTCTTTTTTCCTTGTCTGTCTGGAGTTTTTCAGGGTGTGTGCATGCACGTGGGTGTGTGTGCATGTTTGTATACTCTTCACAACAGGATGGTCTAGGACGAGCCCTGGTTAGCAGCCTATATGTAATTTTGCCTCAGAAATGTTGATGATTTGATTTCACTAACTTCCCAGTCCTTCCCCACAACCTCGATCCCAAACTTCCCATGAACAATGCAAGAGTCTTAGAGGCATCCTGAGCTGAAAGTACTGGAAAAATCAAATCATCTAACCTAACCTTTATTTTACAGATGAAAAACAACAGGCTGAATGGAGGAAAGTGAGCTCCCCCAGTCACAAAGCCAGTTAACAACCCAGCTGAGGTAGCTGGGACCCTCAGCACCAGGGCACATTCAGGTCACACTCAGAACACTTCTTAAGATTTGTGAGTGGCTCTGACAGTCCCATCATGCTGGCTGGAAAACCCAATCTAAGCAAGCATGTCTTAAATCAAGGACGAAAACTTTTCCACTGAGCGAGTGAACAGAATTCTAATGAGAAAACTCGTCGAAAATAGAATCTTTATGGCATACACACACACAGATACGCACTGATATGTGCATACATGATTACTGCATACATCATATAAAAAGGGTGCTTCTTTTTTTAAATACTTGATACTAGGCATATAATAAATTCACAGAGCTAGCAAGGACATCAAAAACATATTGCTAGGGGAAGCATATCTTGGCACAACATTTTTGAAAAATGAGCCATCAATATCTGTACAAACTAAAATATACGCATTCTTTGATCCAGCAATTCCTCTTCCAGGAACCTGGAACCATCTAGAGAAACAGAACTGTACAGATATGTGGATGAGGGTGTTTACTAAATCATCATTTACAGCGCAAAAAGGAAACAATCAGGTGGTCCATCCTTAGGGTTATGGCCAGAGGAACCATGCTACAACGATTTGTAGAATTTTGTGTAACTCTAATAAAATGAATTATTATAGAGCTGAAGGGACACCCATCACTTGTTAGTAAGAAAACCAAACTGCAGTGCAATGTGATGGACACACTTATTTTTACGCAGACCACCACCGCTCCAACATGTCTATGTGCATCCATGTTTGGGGCAAAGGCACATGAAGGAAAGATGGAAGTCTGTTAACACTGAGCATCCCAGGGAGAAGGCATGATTGCAAGGAACCCAGAAATAGTCCTCTGGGTCTTGCTTCAGCCTTCCTTTTCCCCTGTATACCCGCAGTAGCAGGAACATTCTGAGAGAATTATTCAGTGCAACCAAGAGAAGCTCGAAGCTGCCTCTTTCTGTCCCTGGCTCCCATGACCATCGTCTGAGCTAGTTATTTCTCCCAACAAAGTGTCCTGGTCCCAAGGCAGGAAGTGACCCGCTGAGCAGATAACAGCAGGGGAGATGTGAACACAGCACCAGCAAAAGGTCATCCTTTAACACAGGAGGGGGCTCCATCTCCTTCACGGAGAAGGTGGCTCGCGATGCTTGATGCTCCCCTGCCCCACAGAGGAACTCATAACCATAAATAAACCAGGCAGGACCCACTCTGCTTAAAACTAAGAAGCAGACAGAAGTCAGTCTGGCAGGCAGGGCTTCTAGGGCACCTGAAGTAGCGACCTGGAAATCTGGCCTCGTCCCCATGGGCTTCTCTGTCCAGTCCTAACTGCAGGTTGAATGAAAATGACAGAACCACGGAGGCAGAGGTCCTGACTGGGAGAGTGTGACCGCTAGGCTTCAACTATGATAAAACTGCCTTCCCTGAAGCCCTAACTAGGCAGCACAGCCTCCTGGCTGAGTGCTCCAAAGAGAACTGTCACCACCAACTCCCAAAACTCCAGGAGTTGTGCACACGAATACACAAAACTTTCTTTCTGTGGGGACAGTGCAAGGCCTCTGATCCACCACAGCTTGGGAACCAGTGGGAAGAAAGGAAGAGAGGTCGACTTACCAAGCCAACTTCTGTTTAAGTACACAGACACAAACACTGGGGGGACCGTGAAGAAATCTACCACAGAGTTCACTTCCAGCCAGAACCACAGCTTATCGTTGGCTGCAATAAACTGGGGAGAGAGGAAAGGAGAAAAACATGAGAGGCACGATGCTGGCATTCGAAGTATATGCTTTTGCCAAAGGCTATGTTTTGGTTTTTCACAGGGTCCTGGAGGGAGATGTTATGTCCTTCTCATATCTACACCAATCACAGGCTATTTCTGTCTTAGAATTCGGTTATACAGTCTCTTGTAGAGAATGACTATAGACTATGTTAACCTTGGAGAAGTATCAGGCAATCTCTTTTCCTGTGGTTTTCAATCGCATCATAGGAAAGTTTGAGTGGTCTCACTTTCATTAGACTCTAACGGAAATATAACCTAAGTAAAGCATAGGTGTACGCATCCATGCACACGCACATGTACACACAATCTCTGTAATACACATTCAGTAGAGCTCCCCTCATAGAGAGGCTCTACTACAAATCCTCCAAGCCGCCAAATTCTACCAACTACCGCCCTGATTCAAGCCTCCCAACTGTTCTCTCAGGATTCAACTAAGTGAGCCCCGATAAACATAATTTTAAGAGAAGTTTTTTTTCTCCATTTAAGACAACAATGCATTTGCATTTAGAGAGATGAGAAACAGTCGGCCAGTAGAAGTATAATAGTTACTTCAATCCCTGTTCGCCTCCTTGGAACAAGATTTTAACATGCACTTCTGAAAATGCAAAGTTAAGGAAAGGACTCTCTCAGAGACTGAAAATCAGAATATGGGTCTGTTGTCCCCCCTGGAAACACTGGGCTTCATCTCTGCAAGAGCAGATGCTCGTGGGGCATGGCCCCTGGGTACAAGTGGCCCCATGATGATACTGAGTTGTGGGGATCAGACTTACCCGCAGGCCAAAGTAGAGAAGGAAGAACACGTTGAAAGCCATGTCGATCTGTAATGTGAAATCTTTGTAGAAATTCTGGCAGGATTCTATTGGGCTATTAGACAGGAAGAAGAAAAAAGCAAGAGGTAAATGAAAAGCATCATCACGTCTTGCACATACTGTGTGGTATTGGTGCTTGGGGTAGAGGACAAAATGAATCTTCATTGACTAAAACATTTGGTCTTTCTACCCTCTGTGATGATCAAGCAAGCATGGCCAAGGGGTCTTTCCATTCAACCATTCAGTCTTTTGTTCTTTTATTTGTTTTTGTAATTATATATTTATATATATATATATATTATTTTTATCATCATTCAGCAGTTGAGCTAAGAATCTAAAAGGATCATGCAGATACCTTGGAGGAAGGGCAAGCAGGAGAGACCATCAAATTCCTTAATTTCACATTAACCCTTAAAGAACTGACTTCTTTCTTTTAGAGGACATGTACCAAAGCTCAAAATAGTCCCTCACACCCTCTAGCACATTAGAAGTAGAGCCCATTTTCAGTTAAACTCAGTGACCGTGTTTGAGACCTCTCGAAAGCCATCGGTTGATGAATAATAAAGGACCCAGGAGCATCTCAGGAAAGCTGTGGAGAAGAGGATCCTGGTTGATGTTCTGGCTAGACTAAGTACGGACTTGATGTATAGCACTCTGATCTGGAGAAAGAAACATTGCCCAACTGGTAAAGTTCAAGACCATTAAACCAAAATGTTGAAGCAGTACTCTAAGGGTTAATTTTTTTTTTTTTTTTTTTGGCATGCAAGTTAATTGGCTTTGTGTGTGTCAAGCAGCCAGTGCGAACCCCTAGCACACTCTACTTTGTTCAAGAGTAGACAGTTTTTTAAAAGGGTACTACTATACAAACTGGTACATGGCTTCCATGGGCTTTCCAGTGTCAAACTGATCAGAGGATCAGTGTGTGAAAAGTCCCAAGTTTGGGGCTGGGTGGGAAGCAGGAAAGCCTCATAAGCATCTCAAAGCTGTGAATGAAAATTCAGAGGAGACTGTTATCAGTAAGCAAATGGTAACACTCAGGCCAGAAACATAAAGAGGATGAGGTGGGGAAAGGGGAGGGAGTATGGGGAGAAGCAAAATATTTTCCCTGGATGGAAAGCAACGTGGACCTTTGGGCCAGGAGAAGGCTAGCTTGAGAAGTGCAGGATGGAGGATTTCCGAGCACCACCACTTTGGAAATCGCTATACACAATACCAGTTAGTATAGTTGTACTTCTGCGAGGACAATGCTTGGTTGTTCAACAGGCAGGAATCTGTGCAGTATGGGAATGCAGGGCCCACATAGAGGCATGGTGGGTCGGTCTATGGGACTCTCCAATCATATTACATGCACTGATTTATCCATTCTTCATCTCTATTACAAGTCAAACATGCCCTTTGTCATCTCCTAAATCACAAATAGGTGGGAAAACCTCCAGACAAGCATTGCAGGGAGGGGGGGCAGGTTATCTACATTTGCATTTACCAACTAAGCAGACTAAAGGAAACGCAAATGCTGAAAAACATTTCTTTTATAAAGGAAATGACAATTCCTAGGTTTTCGCTAAGGTGGGGAAGTGGGAGGGAAGACAGCATGGAATTTGCTTAGTCCAATGCTGGAAGGAGTGAGGAGCACAAAAGCTAACCACTGCTCTTTACTTTCTCCCCTACTTGGGTATTAATTTAAATGAAAAAAGGAAAATCCAGTCCTAGAGTTAATAAGAGACACTTCTGCAATCCCCAAGCCAGGATGGTGTTTTGTTTCATGTCAAAAACAAGACCCACAAGGTTCACAGGTGTCAGAGTTCTTAGCTTCTCTAGTCACAATGAAAAGAAGTACATGAACTAGGTTGACCAGAAATCCACTATAGATTCCAAGGGAAGAGACAGTGCATCTCTGTGCTACATAAGCCACTGGTATGATGTGCTACTGATGAATGAATGGGGTGTGTGTGTGTGTGTGTGTGTGTAAGAGAGTGATCAAGAGAGTGAGGATGGGAAGCTCTGTTGGTAAATGCTGCACTCATGTTTTTACTTTACCAGTAGTGACTTAACTGTACATTTAAATTCATATTCATCAGGATTGAGAGTCATAGGCAAAGGGACAGAGAGAAAGTCTTGGTTCCCAAGTCTACTGTGGAAAACCCACTATCACTTCACCAAGGTCAAACAATAACCTTACTATTGCCCACACAATATATTTGGATGTCCTGTGAATTTCCTAACTCCCATTAATTCCATGGCCTTTGTGGTATATTTTGTAGTAAACTTAAAATGTATCTAATAGGCTGTGGAAGGGAATGGGAGTGTGGGGGGAAAGATGTTAGCTCAATGCCATTGAGGATATTTTGGTTCAGCATAAATGGCCTTTTCCTCCATATGTTCAAAAGAGCATAAGGAATCAGACTGTAGCAACTTCTTCCCGTTGATCCCTTCCTTCCTTGTAATTCCTGCTGTTCCCTCCTCTATTGCCCATATGCAAAGGCAGCAATGAGAGGGCTTTCTGCTAAAGGACACTATGTTGAAAACACACCTCAGCAGTATCCCTGATTTACAGAGAACAGAGCTGAAACCATATCAAACCTTTTCCTTAATACTCTTTCAAAAATTTTGAACTGATTTAACCACTGTTTCATAGTATTCCTTGAGTCCTAGACTTTAGGCTGAAAAAAGAAAAGGAGTACATTATGCTGCTGGTGCTAGCAGCTTGTCCTCTGGCTGAAGCTTGCCAATGATATGAATACGCTCTGTTAAGATCTAAGAGATGAAGAGAAGCAGAAAACTCTGGGATAAAAGAGGCCCAGCCTCTGTGACCCAGGTAGGACCAGAGTGATGGGGAAATCTGTTTTCTATCCCTTTTAGCTCTTTTCTGCTTGCCACGAGAGTCCAAGGAGAAATGTCCTGCCTAGTTTTCTCAAGTGGCAATAGAACTGTTTATCAGGATCCCCTCTGAGATAAATCTTCTGAGTGCCTGCAGTCCACAAACTCACACAATCAGAGACCACAGAGTAGAGATTCTAAAGTCCCATCATTTCATTCCCTAAATGGAAACAACCCACAGAGAAGTTCACTGATCTTATAAAAAGAAAATATATAATTTAACAATAAAAGGGCTGGCCATATCAGCCAGGATTTATTTTCCTCCCAAAGAGATTGTTATCTTAATGATTAATGCTCATTGTAGGGTAGAAAATGAAATACAAACTGCTTCTCTTTCTCATGTACAATAAGAGAGTTCCTTGTTTAGATACACAGAAGTTTCAAGAGCTAGAAAAGAAATCACTTTTTTTATCACAAAAGAAAGTGACTCCAAAGTACACACTTAAATTTGGATTGCCGTTCTTACGAGGCATGCCCACATCCAAATAGGCTGTATGTGGATATATGTTGCCAATAGAAAAAAAAAGAGGGAGTTTTAAGAACTGAAATAGGGATACTGGTTCTGATCCTGGTAGTAGTAAATGGACTTTCCCTAAATTATTCCTGGTTAAACTAATGACTTACCAATTAGAGGACACAAGATAATTGGTAAGCTGATGGACTCCTCATTCTTAGACTCCCACAGCCCATGGGTCAAATGTGATACTAAAACCTTAGGCAAGTTTAGTGTTTTCACCAGGACTCTATGATTGGGACACCTTCAAAAGAACCTCAATAAAGAGCTGCTTGTGGTTTAAATATTCAGTGTAGGAGAGTCGTCTTATTTCCTCTTGACCATCCAATAAGCCTATCTTTAGTATTTAAACATCTATAGAGGAAAAGGAGACTCACTCAGAATGGCCAATATATCTCTTTTTTCATCTATTTAACAATATAATATCCAATGAAGACCCCTGAGCAGGAAGATCCAATAGTCCTTCCTGAAACTGACTTAAGACCTTGTCTTTCCAAAGCACAGGGCAAACAATGGCTAGCCAGGTTTTCTTTCAAGGGGCAGGGACTAAGGACAAAAAAACTCATTTCCAGCAGGTGTTCCTCTGGATATCTGCATCATCACCAAGAGGGTAGTAATTGCCCTCTCTTCTCAGCCTCTAAACTCCCCTGGTGTTTTCTGAAGTCTGTTTTCCTAACTCCCTGAGTCTGGCTGCTCAACCTAGTGGAGATATTTCTCCAGGACAGTGGTTCTCAAACTTTAGCATCTACCTGGAAGGCTTATTAAAACATTGACAGGTCGCTTCCAGAGTTTCTGATTTAGTAGGGCTGGGGTGGGGCCCTGGGAATTTACATTTCTAACAGCTTCCCAGATACTGCTGCTTGTCTGGGGACCAAACTTTGAGAACCACTGTTACAGAAGCACTTTCTTGCAACTACACACTAATTACAGGTGTTGCTTCTCAAGAAGATTCCCATTCAGACCTGAGCAGAGATGATTAAACGTTTGAGCCCACCCCCAGATAACCAGCTGCATACCACTTAACTAATTGCTGAGATCAAGAGGTTGAACAGATATTTTCACTTTCAGGTGGGAACAAGGGGGGAAAAATTAAGACGATACAGAGAAGTAATTACAACACCACTATGTGAGCTTCGCCACCGAGATTCTAATTAACAGAGTGCCTGAGGAGCACATCTTTAGTTTAAGATTAAAAGGAAAAATGAAGTATAGATGGGGAGAGGTTACGGAGACCATCATTTATGAGACAACAAAATGTTAAGCAGTCTAGGGACATCAACAGCAGCAGCAAATATCTGAGATGATTTAATAACCACATGAGAGGGAAGGGACTAACTGAGGAACAAAATAGCACTTTGTGAAATAATTTCTAACATCTGAATTCTCCTCGCTCTTGTGGCTAGTCCCTTTTTAAATTGGATGGAGCCTTCTCAATTCCCACCAGGATTATGGACCACCAGAGAGCACCACAGACATGAATCAATACAATAAGTTTAATGATTCCAGACTCTTCTCCTAGTCTCACCTCTGCAATGTTGCCAGATTAATTTAATTAAAAGATGTCATTCATCTACCATCATGGCTCCCTCCTGCCTCATACATCAGCTCTAACCCTGACTGTGATGAACCTCTGAAACCCAGCCTCACTACATGTCCCATTTTAT